GAATGAATGCGTCAACCAGGAAATTAAAGAAGAATTTAAAAAATTCATGGAAACCAATGAAAATGAAAACACAACTATTCAAAATCTTTGGGATGCAGCAAAGGCAGTCCTAAGAGGAAAGTATATAGCAATACAAGCCTTTCTCAAGAAACAAGAATGGTCTCAAATACACAACCTAACCCTACACCTAAAGGAGCTGGAGAAAGAACAGCAAATAAAGCCTAAACCCAGCAGGAGAAGAGAAATAATAAAGATCAGAGCAGAAATCAATGAAATAGAAACCAAAAGAACAGTAGAACAGATCTATGAAACTAGAAGCTTGTTCTTTGAAAGAATTAATAAGATTGAGAAACCCCTGGTCAAACTTATCAAAAATAAAAGAGAAAGGACCCAAATAAATAAAATCATGAATGAAAAAGGAGAGATCACAACCAACATCAAAGAAATACAAACAATTATAAGACATATTATGAGCAACTATATGCCAGCAAATTCGATAACCTAGAAGAAATGGATGCATTCCTAGAGATGTATAAACTACCAAAACTGAACCAGGAAGAAATAGAAAACCTGGACAGACCCATAACCACTAAGGAAACTGAAGCAGTAATCAAAAATCTCCCAACAAACAAGAGCCCAGGGCCAGATGGCTTCCCAGGGGAATTCTACCAAACATTTAAGTAAGAATTAATACCTATTCTTCTGAAACTGTTCCAAAAAATAGAAATGGAAGGAAAACTTCCAAACTCGTTTTATGAGGCCAGCATTACCCTGATCCCAAAATCAGACAAAGACCCCATCAAAAAGGAGAATTACAGACCAGTATCCCTGATGAACATGGATGCAAAAATTCTCACCAAAATACTAGCCAATAAGATCCAACAGTACATTAAAAGGATTATTCACCACGACCAAGTGGGATTTATTCCTGGGCTGCAATGTTGGTCAACATCCACAAATCAATCAAAAGAAAGAACAGAAACCATATTTTACTCTCAATAGATGCAGAAAAAGCATTTGACAAAGTACAGCATCCTTTCTTGATCAAAACTCTTCAGAGTATAGGGATAGAGGATACATACCTCAATATCATAAAAGCCATCTATGAAAAACCTACAGCGAATATCATTCTCAATGGAGAAAAACTGAGAGCTCTCCCCCTAAGGTCAGGAACACGGCAGGGATGTCCACTATCACCACTGCTATGCAACATAGTATTAGAAGTCCTGGCCACAGCAATCAGACAACAAAAAGAAATCAAAGGCAACCAAACTGGCAAAGAAGTCAAACTCTCACTGTCTGCAGATGATAGGATACTTTATGTGGAAAACCCAAAGACTCCACCCCAAAACTGCTAGAACTCATTCAGGAATTCAGTAAAGTGGCAGGATATAAAATCAATGCACAGAAATCAGTGGCATTCCTATACACCAACAACAAGACAGAATAAAAACATAAAAATCTTTTAAAAAAAAACAAACAGAAGAAAGAGAAATTAAGGAGTTGATCCCATTTACAACTGCACCCAAAACCATAAGATACCTAGGAATAAATCTAACCAAAGAGGCAAAGAATCTGTACTCAGAAAACTATAAAATACTCATGAAAGAAACTGAGGAAGACACAAAGAAATGGAAAAACATTCCATGCTCATGGATTGGAAGAACAAATATTGTGAAGATGTCATTGCTACCTAGAGCAATCTACACATTTAATGCAATCCCTATCAAAATACCATCCACTTTTTTCAAAGAAATGGAACAAATAATCCTAAAATTTGTATGGAAACAGAAAAGACCCCGAATAGCCAGAGGAATGTTGAAAAAGAAAAGAAAAGCTGGTGGCATCACAAGTCCGGACTTCAAGCTCTTTACAAAGCTGTAATCATCAAGACAGTAGGGTACTGGCAGAAAAACAGACACATAGATCAATGGAACAGAATAGAGAGCCCAGAAATGGACCCTCAACTCTATGGTCAACTAATCTTTGACAAAGCAGGAAAGAATGTCCAATGGAAAAAAGAAAGTCTCTTCAACAAATGGTGCTGGAAAAATCAGACAGCCACATGCAGAAGAATGAAACTGGACCATTTCCTTACACCACACACAAAAATAGACTCAAAATGGTTGAAAGACCTCAATGTGAGACAGGAGTCCATCAAAATCCTAAAGAACACAGGCAGCAACCTCTTCGACTTCAGCCACAGCAACTTCTTCCTAGAAACATCGCCAAAGGCAAGGGAAGCAAGGACAAAAATGAACTATTGGGACTTCATCAAGATAAAAAGCTTTTGCACAGCAAAGGAAACAGTCAATAAAACCAAAAGACAACCGACAGAATGGGAGAAGATATTTGCAAATGACTTAACAGATAAAGGGCTAGTATCCAAAATCTATAAAGAACTTATCAAACTCAACACCCAAAGAACAACTAATCCAATCAAGAAATGGGCAGAAGACATGAACAGATATTTTTCCAAAGAAGACATCCAAATGGCTGACAGACACATGAAAAAGTGCTCAACATTGCTCAGCATCAGGGAAATCCAAATCAAAACCTCAATGAGATACCACCTCACACCAGTCAGAATGGCTAAAATTAACAAGTCAGGAAACGACAGATGTTGGCGAGGATGCGGTGAAAGGGGAACCCTCCTACACTGTTGGTGGGAATGCAAGCTGGTGCAGCCACTCTGGAAAACAGTATGGAGATTCCTCAAAAAGTTGAAAATAGAGCTACTCTATGACCCAGCAATTGCACTACTGGGTATTTACCCCAAAGACACAAATGTAGTGATCCGAAGGGGTACACGCACCCCAATGTTTATAGCAGCAATGTCCACAATAGCCAAACTATGGAAAGAGCCAAGATGTCCATCGACAGATGAATGGATAAAGAAGATGTGGTATACACACACACACACATACACACACACACACACAATGGAATATTATGCAGCCATCAAAAAAACCGAAATCTTGCCATTTGCAATGACGTGGATGGAACTGGAGGGTATTATGCTGAGCGAAATAAGTCAATCAGAGAAAGACATGTACCATATGATCTCACTGATATGAGGAATTCTTAACCTCAGGAAACAAACTGAGGGTTGCTGCAGTGGTGGGGGGTGGGAGGGATGGGGTGGCTGGGTGATAGACATTGGGGAGGGTATGTGCTATGGTGAGCATTGTGAATTGTGTAAGACTGTTGAATCACAGACCTGTACCTCTGAAACAAATACATTATATATTAAAAAAGAAAAAGAAAGATAGTAGGACGGGATAAATGAAGGGGGGGAATCGGAGGGGGAGATGAACCATGAGAGACTATGGACTCTGAGAAACAAACTGAGGGTTCTAGAGGCAAGGGGGCTGGGGGGATAGGTCAGCCTGGTGATGGGTATTAAAGAGGGCACGTATTGAATGGAGCACTGGATGTCATACGCAAACAATGAATCATGGAACACTACATCAAAAACTAATGATGTAATGTATGATGATTAACATAACATTAATAAAATAAAATTTAAAAAAAAGTAAAATAAAAATATAACTCAGGCACCTGGCTGGCTCGGTCAGAAGAGCATGTGACTCTTGATCTCATGGACATGAGTTTGAGCCCCACCTTGGGTGCAGTGATTACATAAAATAAATAAAAATAAAAATAAAATTTAAAAATACTTAAAAATAAATAAATAAAACTCATGTTACTGTTCAAATCCATGATGTTCACCATAAACTACTTTTTCTTAAGAAAGTAAATCTGATATTAACAAGTTTTACTTCTTTATTATAAAAGAATTCAGAAAAATTATCTGTTAAACTCAATAGGACATCAAAGGTATTTCAGAGTTTTGATAAAATTAAAACATTATGAGCAATATTTTTAATCTGCACAATATAAAGAGTTGATGCCAAAACACTTTCCAAAAAACCAGCAAGTGTACTAAAAATAAGGAAGAGAGTGAAAATAGTAGGAAAAAAAAAAAAGCCTTATTACACTATCTTCCCCTCACTTCCCAGTTCCTGGAAGCTGCCTGGGAGGTTATATAAGCACTGAAGTATGTATTTCTAGCAAGAATGCTTTCCGTGGGAGGTAGATGGGAAATCAAAAATAACTATTATTTAACAGCAAAAAAAATCGGTGCAAGAAGTATTGTTTGCAAACTGCATAAAATCAGGTTCTTTCCTTACAGAAAGAAACAAAGAATACAAAACAGAGGAATATTGTCATAAATACTCTGAAGAAATCAGATCAAGCCCAGTGCTCTTGAGAGCTGCCTGCCTTTACTTACTTATAGCTTTGTAACAGAGAACACTAATACAATTTTACTTGCGTCCCCAAGTAGACTAGAAATCTACTGAGGGTAGGAGCTGTCCCTTCCTTTAATGACAAGAATCATATTTTCCACACAGTGTTTAATAAGTCTTCCTAGTAATATTTTATATTTGTACAATTTTGATGCAAATATACATAAAGATGGTCTTGTGTGAGCTTATATCTCTAGTAAGAGACAAGACAAAAACCAATCCCCATTTTGTAGGGCATCACATCTTCTCTTCTGCTGGCCTCCCTAAATACCTTTCATTCCCAATGAATAAGATGAATGACAAACCTTGGCCCCCTCCCCCTAAAGAGGACCCTTTAATTTATCCAAAACCATCTTCAGAATTCTCCTCAGCAAAAGACAAATACTACCATTCATGCTCTGGATCCCTTTCCTTTAATTTATAACTTCTATTTGTTATGAGACCATCAATGTGAAAGCCATCTGGAAAGTCTGGAGTGACATGCTTTGTTACTTTGAACACAACACAAACGAGATCTTAAGTTGGCCTGCCTTTGCACTTCCTTTTTTGGAGGAAAAGAATGATTATGACTCTGGCTTTTCTTATAATTTCCTAATATAGAATAAGATTTATTGTTAACTATAAAAACAGGGCTTACACTCGCACCTGCGTAAGCGTTTGAATCTAAAACTTAAAGAATGAAATAATTACCTTCAGTTTGTTTGCTTCTTTCTTATCCCCAGCAAAAAAGGAATTCTCATCAAAATGCAAAGGAAATGACCTACATGTTAAAACAGAGAGGATTCATTTTCAGGTATTATAAAATATTAAAAGTCCTGCTAAGATAACATTTTGCTGGCTGGTGATGAATAATATAATAAAAAGAGTAGAAAATCTAGTAAAATCAACACTCTGTTGCCCCAAAACAAAGTCTTATCCTCAAATCTAAAACAACTGCATAAAATAGAAGTCTGGCCCCAAACCCAGTATGTCCAACCACATACAAAAATAATGTAGGTATCAAATACTACAAGAATGACTCTGAAAACTAAACACTTGTGCCATTTAGTACCTAAGTCAAAACAAAAACAAAACTCAATTCCAAAAGACCTATAAGCAAAATTAGCTTTTATATTATTATTTTTTAATAATTTTCCTTTCTTGGGCCACCTGGGTGGCTCAGTCGGTTAAGCATCTGACTTCAGCTCAGGCCATAATCTCAGGGTCCTGGGATTGAGCCCCATGTGGGTCTTTGTGCTCAGCAGGGAGTCTGCTTCTCCCTCTCCCTCTGCCCCTTCCCCCTGCTGGTGCTCTCTCTCTCTCTAATATAAATAGAATCTTTAGAAAAATTTTTTCCTTTCTCTAAACTGAGTATTTTAAGAATTGAACTTTGAGGGCACCTGGGTGGCTCAGTTGGTTAAGCAACTGCCTTCGGCTCAGGTCATGATCCCGGAGTCCCGGGATCGAGTCCCCCTGCTTCTCCCTCTGACCCTCCCCCCTCTCATGTGCTCTCTCTCATTCTCTCTCTCTCAAATAAATAAATAAAATCTTTAAAAAAAAAAAAAAAAAAGAATTGAACTTTGATACCGCTTGTCACTCTCCTATTAATGTTTAAGTTGTACAAGTCATAATATGGAATTTACTTGATTTCATGAAGTATTTCCAAAAGCAGCATTTTCTTTTCTGCATCGTGAACTTTATTTCCAGTGAAGAGTTGAAAATCTGGGCGCTCAAAGAACGGTACCACTTTAGATAAAGCCCTTAATTCTATTAAGTAGAGAAAATACAAGTTCTTAAGCCTTCGTGGACCCTCTCCTTCAGTCAAAATTCCATCAAATCGCTGCTGAAATTCTGTAATGTTGTGTCCCCATTTCTTTTCCAACCAAGTTTCTGAGAAGAAAGAAGAATTAAATATTAAAATCTGAATTTTAAAAGTTTCAGTTTACTTACATTGGGTTACTTACACCTACAGAAGTATATCTGAAAATACAGAACAATGAAAGCTGCTTTTCATAATTTAGCTTTTAATGGTTCTACATCAATATTTTATCTTCTAGAACCCATCCTTAGGAGGAAAATAAATTCACTGTTTTACTGAGAAGTATGACTTCACAGAAATCAAATTTCTAAATATAAACATATTTATAAAACCAAAACACACAATTTAAAAATGACGACCTGAAGTTACTGATAAGTCTGAAACTCTATTTAAAATTCAAGTTACTGTATTTTGTTCCTGAGACATAGAGGTACTTGAAATTCCAAAAGAAATAGGCTCCTGATGAAAATCAAACATGGTCTTGTTTTGCAACAGCATTTTTAAAGCATAAAGAGCAGCAGAAAATACTTTTACCCATTAAACTCCAGGCCTGAAGTTGGCACACAAATAAAAGGGTTTTAATACAGTAAAAATATCTAATGAGTAACAAACGGGACCATTAGGAGCTATTTTAACTCCCACAACAAAAGAGTATTTCCAAAGAGATGTGCACAATTTTGAGCAGCTTCTTAAAAGAATCTGTAATTTCTACAGTTCTTACATTCCTGATTACTACCATTTAAGAATTAATTTTTAATGCCTAATATTCAATAGGATCAACTTTGTCCCCCTAAGGTAAATACCAAAAAATTTTAAGAATATCTGAAAATAAGTATGGTAAAATATTTTTTTTCTTTTTGTTTTTTTTGTGTGTGTGTATTTTTTTTAAGTATAGTAAAATAAATAAAAGTGAATGTCACATACCTTGTAGAAGATATCGTGCACTCAAATGCACATTAATGCTTGCATGCAGGCCAGATATAAGTCTGTAGAATGCTCTTTTTTCTACGCAGAGGCCTAAAAATAGTAATTTGGTAATTGAAATTTTATATGTGAAATGTACCATTTTAAAAATAATTTCATATGCCTTTAAAGATGAGAAAAATTTTTAACATTTAAATTTAAGTTTCCAATTACCTTCTAGCCAACTGTAAAAAGTGTTCTCTGAAATTAAAAGAAAAAGAAGTCACAAAGTTGTAAAAATGACAAAATGTTAAGTTTTTCCAATATATAATAGTAATCTGTGCCAAACAGTGATTTAAAAATTAACGAAAGGTCCAGGGGCGCCTGGGTGGCTCAGTCGGTTAAGTGTCTGCGTTCCGCTCAGGTCATGATCCCAGGGTCCTGAGATGGAGCCCTGCATTGGGCTCCCTGCTCAGCAGAAAGTCTGCTTCTCCCTCTGCCTGCTTCTCCCCCCTGCCTGTGCTCTCTCTCTCTGACAAATAAATAAATAAGATCTTTAAAAAAATTTATCACAATGTTAACAGAGAAGCAGTATGAGATAGTAACTGAGAGCATGAACCTTGGAGACAAACTAATTTCAATTCCAACTGTGCTTCTTACAAGTCATACATGATTTAGCTGAGTTGCAAATCCTCTCTGGCACTCATTTTTCTTGTCTATAAAATGGAAATAAAAATAATATCTCCTAAGAACGCTGGAAGGATTAAATGAAATCATACTTGTAAATTGCTTAGAAGAGTAGTACTGGCATGTAGTCTTAGCCATTACCATTATCAATTATTTTGAGGTTGTGGGATTACAAGTGATTTGTCTCCTTATAAAAACCTTCAGAGTTGGGGCACGTAGGTGGTGCCGTTGGTTAAGCGATCGACTCTTGGTTTCGGCTCAGGTCTGATCTCAGGGTCATGAGATTGAGCACGGTGTCAGGCTCCACGCTCATTGGTGGAGTCTGCTCTTTTAAGACTATTTCTCCTTTTCCCTCTCCCTTTCCCCCTGCACACACAAACTCTCTCTCTCTGAAGGTTGTTTGTTTTTTTTTAAGATTTATTTCTTTCTCTCTCAAATAAATAAATCTAAAAAAAAAAAAAAAAAACAACCTTCAGAGTTTTTGTTTTGTTTTGTTTCAAGTTTGGGACCATGAATCAGGGGGAATGGGAGTGTAATACTACTTGGGACCTAGTCTTCCAATGAAATTTTCAGTTCTGTTCCTGAAGTAGCTATCCTCAACTTTACATGGTTGTGATCCAATTAGATAATCACCTAATATGATAGCTGTCAGGGATAACTCTTTCAAATCTGACCAAAATGAAAAATTGTAAATATACTCATAAACAAGATTATTTCTCTAAAGATAGACTCCACAAGCTAACAATATTTTCCCTGACAATGAGAGACAGGATGAGGTCTTTAAACAGTATTGAAAAACTGAAATAATATCCTCTAAAATAGCTAAGAATACCCAAGGTAGAATAAAATCTCTCAAAACTGAAAATTATAGGGAAGAGGGCAGAAAAAAAACCCCTGAAAATTATAGATGACTACTAACAGTAATAAAATATGAGTCATCTTTGGAAGAATAATCTCAGGCTAAAGAATTTCTCTTCCAAATAGTACAGTTCTGATTCAGTATTTTACTTAGCTATTATTGTTACAATAATATAAAGCATAATAAAAAAGCAATGTTATCAGACATTGGTATTCTGTTATTTAGACAGAATACAAAAGCAATTTGTAAAACAAATGTTCAGAAGACAAAATTTTCAAGGAGAGGAAAGGGATACTTCACATTTTAGCAATTTCATCTAGCTGGACTAAAGCTAAGTACTGCCTTGTCTTTTCATATGGTTAAACACATGGCCTTAAGAATAAGAAAAATCATTTTAGGGGTGCCTGGGTGGCTCAGTCGGTTAAGTGTCTGCCTTCGGCTCAGGTCATGATCCCAGGGTCCTGGGATCAAGCCCCACATCAGGCTCAGCGGAAAGCCTGCTTCTCCCTCTCCCACTGCCCCCTCCTCCCCCACTTGTGCACTCTCTCTCTCTCTCTCAAATAAATAAAATCTTAAAAAAACAAAAAGAAAAATCACTCCAATTTCACTCAGAAAGCAAAAAGATTCTCACAAAGACAAAGTAAACCTAAAATACTTAAAAAATTTTAGCATTACAACTAAAATAGTTGGCAGTAACTACCCCCAAGAGCGAACGCAAGCCTTGGAAGCAGGTAGAGCAACAATGTGACCATGCCTAGAAGCTTCCTCTATGGACCCAGCAGATCCTAGAGGTCTGCTCCAGGAGTAAAGGAGAGGAGGTTTTCCCTGACAGAAGCTGGGCGGGGCAGGGCGGAATGCCTAGCTTCTGCAAGCAGTGGGTAAAATGCACAAGTGAATTATCAGAGGCTGAGGCAGGTTGTCGCTACTGCCTGATCCCAGGCACAGTCATGTTCCCTTAACCTGTGCTTTCAACTCCTGAATTTTAGATAAACAGGAGTTCTTAGAAGTAGGAAGAAAAGTTTGCCAAATAAACATCTGAATGTATCAGCAAATTCATATATATATGATAAAGAAATATTTACCTTCACTTTTCCCTGAAAAGCAAAACAAAATGTTGATTATTATAAAGTCCTTCCAGATGTCACTTTAAAATGCTATACTTCCACAAAAAATAAGACTTTGTATAAAGCAAAATCTGAGGGAGACACTTGTGACACAACCCTATCTAGTGGCAAATAGGAATTATGCCGGATTCGCTTCAAGGGCATCATCTCCAAGAGCCTGGGTGAGGAGTGGTTTCAGCTCGTACAAGATTTAATACGGGCTGACGGGAGAGAAAAATCTAATCCATCATCTGAGAGTACTCTCCAGTACCTTAAGGACTTACGGTTATTTGGTTGGCAGCGCCTTTTTCCACATTTATTTATCCTAAATCTATAACATGGTTTCTGCTAAAGAATTGTGTTCTTGAGGCGCCTGGGTGGCTCAGATGGTTAAGCGTCTGCCCTCGGCTCAGGTCATGATCCCAGGGTCCTGGATCGAGTCCCGCATAGGGCTCCCTGCTAGGTGGGGAGCCTGCTTCTCCCTCTGCCTCTGCCTCTCTCTCTCTCTCTCTCTGACTCTCATGAATAAATAAATAAAACATTTAAAAAAAAAGAATTGTGTTCTTGCTTTGAAACCTCCAGACTGACACTGTAAAATTTTACCTTATTTAGGAATATTCTGAAAGACTATTTGTGAAGATTCAAATTATGCACAGTTCGGCAGTTTGTAAGCAGCTGCTCATTTACTACTAAAAAACTGTCTTCATTTTGCCCATGCTTATTTAATGCCATCATTGTTTGATTATTAAAATAACACTGTTCATTGCAAATACATGGGTTTTTTTTAAGAAAGAAGACATAGACGAAATAAAAAATGTTAGCCGTAACTCCCTCTGCCCTAGATAAATACCATTTACATTTTGGTAAATGTCCTTTTTCTTTACATATAGACATTTAGATATTATATTAAGTATGTTTTTACAAAAATATACATACTGTTTGATGCCTGTTTCTTTTCTTCAATGTGCTATTGGTCATTACTGACCTAAATGAATACAAATTCTCAGCAATATTTCTAATGGCTATATTCTACTCAATGAATATACCATAAATCATTTAACCAGTTCCTTAATGATAAACATTTAAACTGTTCCCATTTATATTTATGATAAGTGAGGGTAGTTAATCAGATCATAATGTGAGTTCATACTGAGGATCACCCCTTACCTAGGAATTTGCACTCATCTGATATTAAATCAATAGCTTCCAATGAGTTACTATATGTGAGTCATATAAATCCAAACTCTTGTTTAAAGATGTTCTTTCATTTCTAATCTAGGAAAGACTAGTCTGCCAACATTTAGGGAATGATGCAATCTCACTGCTTTCCAGGAGGAAATTTATGTTTATTGACTGTATGAGATCAGCAGCTTTTCAAATTTTAAAAAATGAAAAACTTATACATTTCCTAAAAGCACATCAAAGACTTCATCAGTAAGCACGTATTACGGGAACAGGGATATAGATTTCCTAAGCAAAAAGTCTGAAATCATACACTGAACTGGTTTATTCAACAAACCATTCTGACTATTACAGACTGGGCAGGGTTTCTGAGTTTCAATTTTACACCCCCTCTGCCTCTGCACAGTGCCTAGCACATAGTAAACGGAGAGTAATCATTTGTTGAAGGAACAAGTGATCTTCCCAACGGTAGTCAAGCCCATTAAATGGGGAGAGCAGTTTTCATCAATCATTCACTTAACAAACTACTCCATCTGTTATGTGTCAGGCTCTCTATTAACAGATGAAACCAATAAATACTCCCCATATGCCCAAAGTACTAGGGTAGATCAATAGACACGTAATAGTAAAATAACGCCAGACAGTGGAAATGGGGTAAGAGACACAAAACGTGACATAAGATCACTTTATGCGGAGAGAGGGGTTACTTCCAGTTAGGAGAGTCAGGGAAGGTGGAAAAGGCAGCATTTGGGCAAGATCTTGTATGGAAGGAGAAAATGAAACATGTTAATGAAGCATAAAGACATGTGAATTTGAAATCAGACTCCCAATATGTACAATCATTTCAGGTTCTGGGAAAGATTTGAGGCAGTTTTTTTGGATATTCATTTAACTAGAAACTGAAGAAAAATAGTAAAAAACTAAACACACATTATGTAAAAATGCACAGAAGAATAAATATTTAACCTAATCTCCATCCTATGATAATCTAACACCATAAACTTCATTACACAAATACTCCTTACTGAGGTGTAAATATTTTAAACACCACTTTCTCTTAAGGGTGAGGCATGACTTCTATGGAAACAGGAATATATGATCTCCAATACTCTTGCCAACTCTTATCCGGCCTTCCTCCTCCTTTTAACCAAAGTTCACTGGCTGATAAATAATATAACAGTGCAAATAAATAACTCACCTTGACCAGAAGCCAAAGGACTTAAAGGTCTTTTAATTGTCTGTGGCCTAGAAACAATAAGAATTAAATTGTAAAATATAATTATGTTACCTATCTTGTTATAATTATCTAAGTAAAAGTGAAATTATCTCAGAGAGCCGCTTAATGACTACATCCAAAATCAAACTATTTTAAAAACACTGAGCTTATAAAATATTTAGTGTTCTCTAATTGCTTGTTTTAGCAAGTTTCTGATCTTTTCCCATTGTAGCAGCCAGAAAGCCATTTCCTAATCACTTCTTCAAACAAAGGAAGAAAACACCAGTCAAGCTCTTCTAGAGTTGCTAATGTTTTTACATATATTACATATACACATACGCTCTGCCTATGCACACGTACACATATGTGTGTTTGCATGTGGTACAAAGCGCACTCCTGATTGAAAGACGAACAAGCAAGAAATATAAATACCCAAACCAAGCATGAAAATAAAAAGGGGAAAAAGCACTGTGGGTAGATTATTTTCCACTTAGCTAATCTTATGTATGTCAACTGACCCTGTGGCCACCGAGTTTGTTATGATTTCAATAAAAGGTATTTTTTAATATAAAAAAAGAATTAAAATGTCACCGAAGTGCCTTTAAATCTCAAACTAAATATTCATTAGTATCATTAGTAAAATGTGGGGATTGCTTTGTCTGCGATTTGAATTTTATGAACTCTCACAACTTGAGACATTTTGAGAACAGAACATGTAAGCTATATTTTAACATACTGAATTTTGTGCCTCATATATTCTTTATATATTAGAAATATTTATACTGGGAATCATGATAAAAATTAGTTAGGGAATAGCTACAATACAAATATAAAATCTAACAAATGCTTCAGTTGGACTCTATTTTAGTTCATATTAAAAAAACAAACCAAAAAAAACCAAAAAACAAAAAAAAACAACAACCTTTAGGGGTGCCTGGCTCAGTCAGTAGAGCATGCAACTCTTGATCTTGGGGTTGTAAGTTAGAGCCCCAAGTTGGGTGTAGAGATTAGTTAAAAATAAAATCTAGGGCGCCTGGGTGGCTCAGATGGTTAAGCGTCTGCCTTCGGCTCAGGTCATGATCCCAGCGTCCTGGGATCGAGTCCCGCATCGGGCTCCGTGCTCCTTGGGAGCCTGCTTCTCCCCCTGCCTCTCTCTCAATCTCTGTCTCTCATGAATAAATAAATAAAAATCTTAAAAAAATAAAAAAATAAAAATAAATAAAAATAAAATCTAAAGCAAAACAAAACAAAACAAAAAACCTGTAAAGTAAGCCAATTAAGTCAAACATTCCTAATAATAAACCAGGGAATTTAAATGAAACACATGGCAGATATGAGTAAATAATGAAAATTCTCCACTTCAAAACTGGAAATTTTTCAAATCAAAAAAAGAAACAGACTTGGGCGCCTGGGTGGCTCAGTTGGTTAAGCATCTTCCTTCGGCTCCGGTCATGATCCCGGGGTCCTGGGATCGAGTCCCACATCAGGCTCCCTGCTCCATGGGGAGCCTGCCTCTCTCTCTCTCTCTCTTTCTCTGTCTCTCTGTGTCTCATGAATAAATAAATAAAATCTTTTTAAAAAAAAAAAGAAACAGACTTGACATTTTATTGGTATAAGCATAACTGCTAATCTCTTATATTTGACTTATGCAAAGTGAAATGTATTATTACTGTTACCTGGGAACTCCAAAGATTTTCTCAGAATTCCCCCCACCTCTGAGATAGTATAATGCAAATGCACACACAAATTCCTTCCAAAAACCAATAAGCACATTGGTTAGAGGCCAGTGGCTTATAAGAGGCGGGTAAACTTGAAGCATGTCCCAGTCACACAGGGATGAAACTATTTCTATTGTAGCAGTAAGAGTACAAAGTGGGTTCTTCCACTTACTAGATTTTTGACACTGGAAAAATCATTTAACCTTTGCAAGCCTCAAGTTTGTCCATCTGTAAACAGTGATGACTACAACATAGGGCTATTGCAGGGACTAAAAGAGAAAATGTATGTACCATGCTTAGCACAAGTCTGGCACACAGTGAGTGTTCAAGTGTTACCTATTATAATTATTCTCTGAAATTAATTTAACTTGAACTTGAAAGCAGGTAAAATAACTAGAGCCTCAAAAGATGAATACAGAGCACCAAAAAGAGATTTAGGAGTCATCTATTCTTTACTACTAAGAATATGATCCTGGGAAATGAAGTAAACCTGGCTGGCTCTACGTTATTCCATCTATAAAATGAGATTCTATAATCCATTAGAGGAACACCTGTGAAATGTCTACAATATTCCCATAAAAGTCTCATACTATTCTATGTCTTTCATTTTTATCTTTTATTTTTTTAAAGATTTTTTATTTATTTTTCTATGTCTATGTCTTTTAAAGAAGAAAAAAATATTTGTTGAAACTCATGTCCATATGTTTCCCCAGAGGAGAAGTGGATTAATGAATAAGAATGTTTCTATGTCCAGATGCATCCTTTAACAAAATGAATGTGATTTGCAATTTAGAGTCATTATTAACTGTTTATTTGTTTATAAATAAAAATCACTCTATATGTCAGGACTTTCTAAGTGAAAAGGACACATACTTAAAACAGTTTTCTTCATAGATGACGTTCCAAATCTTCCAAGCATCTGGCCCCTTGTAACCCGTGTAGCGCTCGGGATTAAGGAGCAAATCTACATATTCAGCATCAGGAGACTGTATGTCTGTAAAATGAAATGTTCCATTAAATCTTTTTCTTCAGTTACCTTAAAAAACTAGTATAATAGACTATACTCCACTGATTCTAAGGCACCACAAATGTAACAGTGCATCCAGACTTTAAAAACAACCTTTTACAAGAAAGATGAGAGAGAAAAGAGGAAGGCACAAACAGACACATTAAATGTACTCACTGGTTGCAAAAGCATCCTGCTTTTAAAAATGGTAAAAAATAGGAATATGTGAATTTTAGAATAGAAGAAACATGGTAATTTAATTCTGATAAGCTATCCAGATGAAAAATATACTATATATTTCCCTCCACATTAACTGCAAGCAGTTCATCAGTAACTAGGATAAATGAAGATGTATTACTACCAGACACTGTTTATTACCAGAAACTTCCTTCTTACATGACCACCATCAAGATCCACTACAAAGTTGTCCCAAAGGTATAATCCTAAACATGCAAAAAATTATAAGCAGGATGATACTTGCATCAGCATTATTTATTAAAGGGAAAATTAGAAGCAACCTAAATGTCCAACAGCAGCACATGGGGCTCTGGAGCCAGAGTGCCTGGGTCAGAATCCAGGCTCTACTAGTTATTCAGTGTGGAACCCGGGGCAAATTACTTATGTTCTCGATGCATTGGTACCATTATTTATAATATGGAGATAATACTCAGTGTTACTGTGAGACTTAAGTAAGTTTATATGTGCAGAGTGCTCAGAACCACGGTACGAGTATAATACATATTAGCTAGTGGTATTATGAGATATCTTAACAGGACATTTTACAATCAACAAAACTGTTAAGTACGAATGCTACCTAATAAAATGAAAAGATAAGAATTATAGGAAAGTCAATTACAGATACCAGTGAAAAAACATATAAAAATTGGTGAGATACTGGTTTCTCATATGTTCTATAAATTTGTGTAATGGATTATAATTTTGAAACAAAAAAATGTCCCCTCGTTCTCCAGTGGCTTTGAGAAATTATTTAATATACAGTAATACCTTCCTCATTTATAAAGCTTAACAACATGAACCAACAAAAAATGAAGAAGTGGGCAAAAAAGCAACCAGAGTAGATGACAAAAATCTGAGCACACAGGTACTTATAAGAAAGTCCATCAAGCTCTCAAAAGTACCTACTTTTTTTTTTTTTTATGAAATTCAATTTATTTATTTTTTTTTAAGATTTTATTTATTTTTTGACAGTGAGAGAGGGAACACAAGCAGGGGGAGTGGGAGAGGGAGAAGCAGGCTTCCCGCCGAGCAGGGAGCCCGATGTGGGGCTTGATCCCAGGACCCCGGGATCATGACCTGAGCTGAAGGCAGACGCTTAATGACTGAGCCACCCAGGAGCCCGGAAAAGTTCCCATTTCTTATTAAAAACACAATGACAAAAACAAAAATAAAACTAAGCTTGGCTATTTTTATCCCAATTGACAGTACATTAGAGACATAAATTAGGGGAAATTTTGCTTCTAGAAGTAGCACAGTGACAGCATCTAGAAATAAGAGAGTCCATGCAGAAGTGGCAATTAAAATAACTAGAAAAAGTAGAAATAAAAACTTAAAAACAGGGGCGCTTGGCTGGTTCAGGCAGTAAAGCATGTGACCCCTGATCTTGGAGTTGTTAATTTAAACCCCAGGTTGGGTGTAGAGATTACTTTAAAAAACAAAACAAAACTTAAAACAAATTTGTATGGGATCCTCTGGTTCAGGAACAGATACTTCTGTTTATCTCAATTAATACTAAAAGCATTGCCACAGTATAGCAAATTAGGATAAATTCATAAAAAATAGCCCTCATTTTTAAAACATATAAATAATGCTCAGCATCTAGTACTTTAAGATTGAAAACAAATTACTAGTAATTAAATTTTTAATATTCTGCCTAATCAGGCATAAATATTAGTTGACTCATAATTTTACTTATAACAAATACTTCATCTTGCCTCAACTTTTTAATAAAAAATAACTGTTACTGGGGCGCCTGGGTGGCTCAGTCGGTTAAGTGTCTGCCTTGGGCTCAGGTCATGATCCCGGGCTGGGATGGAGCCCCATGTTGGGCTCTCTGCTCAGCAAGGAGTCTGCTTCTCCCTTTCCCTCTGTCCCTCCCCACTACTCGTGTTCTCTCTCATTTGCTCTAAGTAAATAAATACAAAATTTTTAAAAAATTGTTACTATAGCCATATTTTGTCAGATGACAAAAGCTCAAATTTCTAATTAAAATTTACAGAATACCTCTGTCTTCTACCTACCATTTACATATATTATATCTTCCTTATAAAGCTATCCCTTTTTTTTTAATATTCACCCTCCTTTAACAGAAGAAACAAATATAAAGGGACAAGTGATTCACCCAAGATAACAGAACTCCACCAGATAAGAATTATTCTCAGTCCTTCCTACACAAATATAAGCAGGTAGTCTCAAAAGTACACTTTGATAAACGAAGTTAAAGTATTACTTTCCTTTCTCTAATGCTGCAGGTCTAAAAAAAAATGTGCTGCATGTTAAAAGTTTAATTTTATCTCATAGTAATATTCAGGCCAAAGAATCCTTGTGAAAAAGATGGTAAAGTTAAGGGGCTGGGAGAGCATTTTGCCCCCCTTCTACACTAGTCTAAACCTTGGTGTAAGTCCACAACTCCTTATCCAACATCCCTGGGGCCAAATGTGTTTTGGAATTCAGAACTTTTCAGATTTTAGAAAAATATTATAGGGTGCCCGGGTGGCTCAGTCGGTTAAGCGACTGCCTTCGGCTCAGGTCATGATCCTGGAGTCCTGGGATCGAGTTCCGCATCGGGCTCCCTGCTCGGCAGGGAGTCTGCTTCTCCCTCTGACCCTCCCCCCTCTCATGTGCTCTCTCTCATTCTCTCTCTCTCAAATAAATAAATAAAATCTTAAAAAAAAAAAAAAGAAAAATATTATAGCATATGCAACATATACTGAATAATTACTCCAGCAGGGACTGGGGCAGCAACTTTTAATCCAACACCAAAAATATTTCTGTAGTGAAACATGTGAATGTTCACACTAAAAGAGTCTGTGCTAAACTTAGGGGGAAAATATTCATATTTCAGAGTTTTCAGATTTGGGAATTAGGAATAAAGGATTATAAATATTATTTGCCAAGGCATAACCATGTTTTACATTAAGGAAAGCATATGTTTCTTTTTTTTCCCCAAAAAATGAAACCACAAAGTTAAAAATAAGTACTTTCTCTTTGCCTTCCTCTTTTTGGAGGGAATTGCAGGATTTGTCTCTCACTTGCAATGAAAATGATCTATATCATTCTTTTTGCTTATTTTTTTTTTAAGATCATTAATCTGCTTCAAAAGAGCCACTGGAGGATACCAAAACTCAGTTTGATTTGATTGTGGTTAGCCAATTAAAAGGCTAACAGTTCAACTAAGAAAAAGGAAAAATAGGGGAATCCATAAATCTGAATAAAGGGTTCTAATAGGTCCTAGGGCTCCTGGATTTGAACAGTACCAGAACTCTGGCCCAGCTTCCCATATCTCAGATACAACTCATGGTTTATTCTTCTCTTTTCCAAAAGCAACACACACCATCAAGGAAAATATGTAACAATCCAAGGCCAGTACAACAAAAGCAAGTTTTTACAATCTCCATCTCTACATTTGAGCTATTTATGCAAAATGTGTATATTACAAAAATCATATATATATTTTATATATTACTGAGATACACAAAACTGTAAGAGTCAGACTCAGGAGGTAAATTTTTTCCAGAAACTGAGGGTTTGTTGTTTTTTTTTAACTGTGGTAAAACGTATATAACGTAAAACTTACCATTTTAACCATGTTTAAGAGTACAATCCAGTGACATTAATTATATTCACAACATTGTGCAACTGTCACCACTGTTTCCAAACTTTTCTATGACCTCAAACAGGAACTCTAACCATTAAACAATAACACCCCATTCTCCCCCTCCACTAACCTCTGGTTACTCTGTGAAACATACAATAGTTGTCCTTTTGTGTCTGGCTTATTTCATTTAGCATAGTATTTTCAAGGTTTATCCATGTTGCAGCACATATCAAAACTTTGTTTATGGGCTAAATAATATTCCATTGTATGTATTTATTACACTCTGTTTATCCATTCATTTGCTGATGGATATTTGGGTCATTTCTACGTTTTTTTGTGAAAAATGCCACCACAAATATGGGCATACAAGTATCTGTTTCCCTGTCTTCAATCTTTTTTTTTTTTAAATATTTTTTTAAATTTTATTTATTTATTCATGAGAGACAGAGAGAGAGAGAGAGAGGCAGAGGGAGAAGCAGGCTCCCAAGGAGCAGGGAGCCCGATGCGGGACTCGATCCGAGGACCCCGAGATCATGACCTGAGCCAAAGGCAGACGCTTAACCATCTGAGCCACCCAGGCGCCCCCTGTCTTCAATCTTTTTCGGTACCTATTTAGCAGTTGAATTGTTAGGTCATGTGGTAATTCCGTCTTTTGCTTTTTGAGGAACTGCCATACTTTAGAAACTGAGGTCTAAAAACCATTTTAAAAGATTTTTTTTTTCAGGGGCATCTGGCTGGCTCAGTCAGCTGGGTGCCTGCCTTCAGCTCGGGTCATGATCCCGGGGTCCTGGGATCGAGCCCCGCATTGGGTTATCTGCTTGGTGGGGAGCCTGCTTCTCCCTCTCCCTCTCCCTCTATCAGATAAATAAATAAAAAACCTTTAAAAAAAAAAGATTTTTTTTTCCTTACACCCAATTTTAAACAAAACACATACTATAAAAAATGTTATACCATCAGCTTCACAGAAGTTGTCTGAGGAATCATCATGCTTGGTCCACTGAAGAACAGCCTTCTGCGTTTCCTCACTTCAAATAAAGAAAACAGGTACAGTTATCCCTTTTTTTTAAGTTATCATTTCACAAGAAAAAACATAAAATACTACTGCAAAAAAAAAAAATCAAACCTCAGAGATTCATCCACAGCTCCAAGTCGTTCAGCTTGTTCACATTCTTCAATGAGATTATTGGCTACCTCAGAATACTAAAAGAAAAAGGAGAATAAACAGATTACAACTTACTGCATTTTAAAAACTTTTTAAAAGAACTTCAAAGTTATTTGAAGTTCTTTTATACCTAGCACCATTTCCTTGGCTTTAAAACTTAAAAAAAAAAATTAAGCCCTCACATCTCCCCTGAAGCTAAAAAAAAGACATAAAAGGCTTTGTCCCTTGTTTTTGTTGGTGAACACATTTACTATATGGTCACAAAATAAAGAATATAGTTCTGATAACTCATTACCAAGCTGTTCACTAAGAAAATCTCTGAGGTCTAAGGAACACTAGGCAAAGCATCATGAGATAATGTCCCACTTTTTTTTTTTACTTTTTTTTCTTAAAGTAGTCTCCATGCCCAGTGTGGAGTCCACCACAGGGCTTGAACTCATGACCCTGAGATCAAGGCCTGAGCTGAGATCAAGAGTCAGACGCTTAACCAACTGAGCCACCCAGGTGCCCCAATGTCCCACTTTTCTAATGGCCTAATTGGAAGCATCAGTATTCTCTTCCCTAAATAAGCAGTTGGACCAGATGACGTGTGTCTAGGTCCATCTCAACTCTAAATGCCAGGATTCTAAATATGCCCTGGGGCCCACCAAGTCTTATAAAAAGTATTCCAGTATCTTTAGGTTTTTAAAATATATTCTTTAACCACTTCCTTCTCAACATCTAAGCCTTACACACATGCACACGCATGCACACACACACACATTATTCTGCTAGGCATGTATGTGGCACAGCGGAAGTGAATGTAGATCATAAGATTTCACAACACACTGGTCATCACCACCACAAAGCTGAAAGATAACACTGGAAGCAGAAGGCACAGAGTCGGGCGCCTGGGTGGCACAGTTGGTTAAGCAACTGCCTTCGGCTCAGGTCATGATCCTGGAGTCCCTGGATTGAGTCCCGCATCGGACTCCCTGCTCAGCGGGGAGTCTGCTTCTCCCTCTGATCCTCCCCCTCTCATGCTCTCTGTCTCCCATTCTCTCTCTCAGATAAATAAATAAAAAATCTTAAAAAAAAAAAAAGAAGGCACAGAGTCAATCACTCAACAAATATTTATTGAGTGCCCTTATTGTTAGGATGACCATACTAATGACTGCCCAGCCTATCACACTTCCGAGGATAAAAGGGAACACTAAGATAACTGAAATGATACAATTTTTTGAAATATTTATTTACTGAACAACAACTCTGTTTCATTACATTGGTTGACCTATAAGACAGACAGCTCAATTCCAACACTATTTTTTTTTTTTAAAGATTATTTATTTATTTGACAGAGAGAGAGAGAGAACAAGTAGGCAGAGCAGAGGGCAGAGGGAGAGGGAGAAGCAGGCTTCCCGCTGAGCAGGGAGCCCAATGCGGGGCTCGATCCCAGGACCGGGAGATCATGAACTGAGCCGAAGGCAGATGCCCAACGACTGAGCCACCCAGGCGCTGCCCAACACTATTTTCAAAACTAAAATTCTTTCTACATAATTAAGTATTAAGGGGATATGATATATTCAACCTACTCTCAAATGGTTCCAAAAATAAGAATATGTATATAGAAAATAAGAATATGTATATATGTATACAGAATATGTATATAAAAATATGTATATAGAAAAATGAGGCAAAATACTAAAAATCAGTGAATCTGTAGAGTACACAAAATGTCTTTATACTAATCTTGCAACTTTTCTATGAGCTGTTAATTAGCTTAAAATAAAAAGTTAAAAATACATATCAAAAAATGAATAGAATTTGTTCAAAAAATGACATACCTATGTATATTAAAACAAAAAATTTTAAAACCTTATCATTATAACTATCTGATCATTAAAACATAAGTTAAACAAAATAACCTTTGGGTTTTTTTTTTTTTTTTACTATTCTTTGTTTCTATTTAAAAATTTGTTAAGTCACATATGTCTCAATTTTATATCACTGGCATTTTTCTGAAGAAATTTTTTTCAACTTATCATTTTTAATTTTTCATAAAACTACCCACAATCTTCTTCAAAGTTAATTTTTATGGCTAGTCAATTTGAAATCATCAATACCTTCAATTAGCTCTTCCCTGCATTTATAATTTTTAATTGAGAAAAATATTCTCTCTACAGGTAAAGATGTGAAACTATTTTAAAATACCAAATTATTTTCAGGTCTATTCTTTTGCCTCCAAAGTATGTTTCTTCACTAAATATTTTAAGACAAAACTCATCAAATAATTTTTTTATTATTTTAAATGTTTTGCTTAATACAGATACTACAAAATTGTAAGCCTTCTTATATCATTTCATTTCAGATGAGAATATAAACTTATCCAAATAAAAACACAAGTTTCATCAAGAAGAGACTCTTCCCACAAGAGGAGATACTCCAAAACACAATTATAAAATTTCAGAATTAAACCTTACAACACCATTTGAACTTTCTCCACCTAATGTGTTCAATCCCTTCCTAGCTTTTGCAGGAATAAATTTCGACGACTTTGTTTACAAGCTTTATTATAATAAGTGCAAGTTGCTAAACCTTCAAAAGCTAAGGATATTTTTCTTTAAGCATTCCATTCATCGATACTTTGAATAATAATTTTCCACTGATGTTAAACATATAGTAATCGACATTTAGAGATCTCACTTATTAGAAATTAGTTAATACCACTGAAGGACTCTTGGGTTGTTTTACAAAATAGTCTTCAAAAGCTCAAACATTTTTTTTTTTTAAGATTTTATTTATTTATTTGACAGAGAGAGGTACAGAGAGAGAGGGAACACAAGCAGGGGGGAGAGGGAGAAGCAGGCTTCCCGCGGAGCAGGGAGCCCGATGCGGGGCTCGATCCCAGGACCCCGGGATCATGAACTTAGCTGAAGGCTAACGCTTAACGACTGAGCCACCCAGGCACCCCAAGCTCAAACATTTATAAAAGATGGACAGCAAAGAAGGTACTCCTGCCCATGCCAAAGTAATATTTTCTTCAGTATTAGCTTCACCTCAAAAATTTTATGGTCATTAAGTGTATATATAAATATAAAAACCTGTACATTTTGACAATTACCACTTCAATCTTAATTGGTAAAATATCACAGCATGTTTGGACACAATTATGAATTATGTGTGTATCTTTTTTTTTTTTAGGTGATCTCTACACCCAATGTGGGGCTTGAACTCACAACCCCAAGATCAGGGGCGCCTGGGTGGCTGTCGTTAAGCATCTGCCTTCAGCTCAGGTCATGATTCCAGGGTCCTGGGATCAAGCCCTGCATCGGGCTCCCTGCTCAGCAAGGAGCCTGCTTCTCCCTCTCCCTCTGCTGCTCCCCCTGCTTGTGGTCTCTCTCTCGCTGTCAAATAAATAAATAAAATCTTTAAAAAATAAATAAATAAATAAATAAATAATAAAATTAAAAAAAAAAAAACCAACCCCGAGATCAAGAGTCACATGCTCTACTGACCGAGCCAGGTGCCCTTGAATTATGTGTATATCTTAACCAACTACAAATTCATTTCTGCTCCACAGATTTCTTGATTTAGTCAGAACTGTTTTTATCAAAATTTGTATATTATCACCACACAACAAATATTTTGTCTTCAGTTTTGAGCTTGAAATGAATTTATACTGGCATTCACAACAGGGACAAATGTTTTCCCTCAACAGCATGAACTTCAAAAAGTTTTGATGATGATCTCGTCATTTAACCATGTGCAAAGTTCTGTCGTTGCAGCCAACACATTAATAGCTATGACGTCATCCTTTGTATTTGACCAAGAAAACACGGAGGGGGCACCTCGGGGCTCAGTCGGTTAAGCGTCTGCCTTCAGCTCAGGGTCATGATCCTGAAGTCCTGGGATCGAGTCCCGCATCGGGCTCCCTGCTCAGCAGGAAGTCTGCTTCTCCCTCTGACACTCCCCCCTCTCATGCTCTCTCTGTCTCATTCTTTCTCTCTCAAATAAAGAAATAAAATCTTAAAAAAAAAACATGGAATCAAAAATGAGCAAAATTACTTTAGAATCTATGGTGGAAAAAGTGAATAGTGGTTGCCCCTGAGGGAAGAAGTAGAAATTGATTGGGACAGGGTATCAAGTGACTTTCTAGGGTAATGGTAATGTTCCCTATTATAATAGAAGCATAGATCACACAGGTATATGCATTTAGCATATGCACACTTAAGATCTGTGCATCTCATTGTATGTTAACTTTATAAAAAATACATATAAGGAAATACTGGACTCTGGTTAATGATACACTTCTACTTGTGTATATACATATATATATAGTTGATGACACATTTAAGGCAATGCACACTGATGCTTGCAATTTACTTTGAAATACATCCAGAAAATAATATTTTTTAATGGATAACTAGAAAGATGGACAGACACATATGAGATAATGTAAGTTTACAAAATGTAAATGGTAGAATCCAGGTGATGAGTTTGAGTGTTCACAGGAAAATTCCTTCAACTTTGCTGTATATATGAAAATTTTCATAATAAATTTTCATAACATCAGAAAATTTTAATTCAGAACAGTTATTTAGTCTAAATGAAAAATCACATATATCAGAATGATATGTAAATGTACCACTGCATCTACACATCAAGTTGTTTTTTTAAAAAATATTTTATTCATTTATTTTTTTGAGAGAGTGCCCATGAGCATGCGGGGGAGGAGGGAGTAGAGGGAGAGAGAATCTCAGACTCCCTGCTGAGCATGGAGCCCAACGCAGGGCTGGATCTTACCACCCTGACATCAAAACCTGAGCAAAAACCAAGAGCTGGATGCTTAACCAACTGTGCCACCCAGGAGCCCCAAGTTATCATTTTTAAACAGTTTTCTTAACCATTAATTTACAAAGTAGATGCTTAAACTTTGTCAGTAGATTTGTGTATTCATTCTGGCATTCATACGGTCAGAGATATTTCTATGGCCCTTGTGGATGGTAAATCATGACCTTTTATGCAAGTTACATATCATCAACTGTCGTGAGAAATCAAAATTTAATACTTTCTCATTAAGCATGCGCTTCTTTTTTTCTTTCTTAGTTATTTCGGCCAAAAGGATTCACTGTAAAACATTTTTTAATTACTAAATAGTAAAATCATTATAAATGTTGATTTACACTATACAAAAAAAATAAAACCACTATAGGAAGACTATTCTTTCTATGCAGGATTGCTCACCCTTTTTTTCCCATATATATATTTAATAAACTGGACCTATAATTTCCCAGGTTTAATACTGACCAGTCAAATGGCATCCTGGAAGCTTAGGACAGATTACAGGTATGACACAGGCCACAGCACAATTGGCTGATAAGTCCAAGAGACCAGCCGGGCAGAATGTCCAATGATGTTCTGTTTCCCCCACTTCCCAAGACTATAAGGAGTTAGCTGTCCCCGGCCATTGTGTCTGCCTGCAATTAGCTTATCAGCAGGTATTTTATCGCCCAGTATATTTTCCTTGAAAAATCATTTATTTACATCTAGAAAAGGTCATAAAAAGAAGTGCAAGTTATTATTGGTCATCTTGGGGTTAAAGTAAGAACTCCTTAGTATACATACATCTCAAATAGAGGAGACAACAGAGGAAGCTAGAAATACAAAGTATTTGGTCAACCAGAACCATTTTAACTTATTTTAACACAACTATTAATATTTCATTTAAAAAATTTAAAACTCAGGACAAATGATAAATCATTCAGGATGCCAGAACAACAGGCATAAGCCAGTTCTGCCTAAGGCAAACCGTGGCATATGGTCTCTTGATGTACTCTTGTTACTCTCTAAGTCCTCTGGATTTTACTCCAAGAGAGATGGAGCACATGGGAGGATTTTCAACAGAGAGATAAGACCTCATTTCTTTAAAAAAAAAAAAAAAAAAATTACTCTCTGGCTCCTGGGTGGCTCAGTCGGTTAAGTGTCTGCCTTCAGCTCAGGTCATGATCTCGGGGTCCTGGGATCGAGCCCCCCATCGGGCTCCCTGCTCAGTGGGGAGCCTGCTTCTCCCTCTGTTCCTCCTCGCCAACCCCCCACCTGCATCAAGTTCATGCTTTCTCTCTTTCTCTTGCACTCTCTCTCTCTCTCAAATAAATAAATAAAATCTTAAAAAAAAAAAAAATCACTCTGGCTGCTGTCTTTAGAAGAGACAATAGAGAGGCAAGGGCAGAAGGAGGCATGCCATGAAGAGGCTACTATAATAATCCAGGCAAAAAGTGATGATGGCTTTAAATGTGGCCGTAGCAATAAAGATTGTAAGATTCTGGGTATATTTTAAAACTCTGTAATTAGGGTGCCTGGGTGGCTCAGTCATTAAGCGTGTGCCTTTGGCTCAGGTCATGATCCCAGGGTCCCGGGATGGAGCCCTGCATCGGGCTCTCTGCTCAGCGGAACGTCTGCTTCTCCCTCTGCCCCTCCCCCTGCTTGTGCGTGCTCTCTCTCTTTCTCTCTCAAATAAATAAATAAAATCTTTAAAAAAAAAAACAACAACTCTGTAATCACAAATTGAACTTGGCCTACCAAAAAAGGCCTTGAAACAATAACAACCCAGTAACAACTAGCACCTCCCGGGGCCCAGATTATAATCTCTAAATACCATTTCCCACTAAAAGAAATAGGACTCCTTAGGGGGGGAAAAAAAAAAAAAGCTTAGAGTAAGAAAGGTACAAAACTAGCCTAGAAGCTCTTTTCATAATAGAAAGCAAAAAGTCTACTAAGACTAGTGGGATCATCTTAAAAGGCCATAATTACTAACTTGAAGGAGCTGCTAGTAGCCAAAGACAGAACAACTCAAGCATCAAAAGGAATAATAAAAAATGACTATAATAGAGTCCAATTCATAAAATATGTCAAAACTTTTTTTTAAAGATTTTATTTATTTATTTGACAGAGAGAGAGAGAGAACACAAGTAGGCAGAGTGGCAGGCAGAGGGAGAGGGAGAAGCAGACTCCCCACTGAGCAGGGAGCCCAGTGTGGGGCTCGATCCCAGGACCCTGGGATCATGACCTGAGCCGAAGGCAGACGCTTAACTGACTGAGCCACCCAGGCACCCCAATATGTCAAAACTCTTAAGTTCAAAATAACACTGAAAAATAAAAACCTTATTGGGCATCTTTGGAGGTGCTAGGGCACCAAATTCATAATTATTCTGAAAACTGGTAAACAAAGGAAAACAAGCATTTATCCTGTCTGTCCTGTATAAACTGTATTTCAGGGCATCCAAATAGCTGACAAGAAAAGATCTTTATAGAATAATAACAGATAATAAGTATAGAAAGAATGATATAATTAGAGTATCAACATTTTCAAAACCCTAATGAAAGAATACAACTAGGTAATAATCATCAAAGCTGCTAAAACTTTCATGGAGAAAGCTAGTAGGGAACTTTATATTGGATGTATAATGAACCTAATGATAGATCTTAACATCATAATAAAAAAAGAAAAGAGACATTATGTGTCTTCTGATATAACAGTAAGTACACAACACTAATCAATACATATCAGAAAATGAATCTGAAAAGCCATAATACATAACTGCCAGTTCATAGAAAATAATGTGTTGAATGCTGTGACAGGGATACAATCAACTAAAACACAATGTGGAAAATTCTATAGGATAAGGACTCATTTCCTTCAACACGTAATTTTGCAAAGAAGAAAAAAGAAGAGGGAATGAACATTGGTTAAAAGAGACGGAAGAGACAGAAATACGCAAGTAGTGCCAGAAAATAAGGAAGTGCTGAAGAAAGAGAAAAACCACAATGAAAAACCACAACCAAATGAGTATATCAAAGGGACACAGGACCAACTGAAACAGCTCCCAGTGGCCAAATTAGAATGATTTGAACAGTAAAATGAAGTTATACTAGATTATAATCCAGAGTAGAAAATAAACATCCATAAAGACTTATCTGAGAATGGCTTTAAAATAATTGGGAAAATGGAGCACGAGGGACCACAGACTAATAATTGCTGAAGCTGGGTGATGGTTTTTTTTCTTTTATTTATCCCTCATGCTTTCCATAATAAAAGGTTGAACAAAAGGAAAAAATAAAGAATTGGAGTCACTGAGTACAAATGACTCTCCAGGGGTTTCACTGTGAAGGAGAGCAGGAAGTGGGGTCGTACCTGGAAGGGGGAAATGAGTTTTACAAGTTTTTTGTTAAGATACTAGACACACTAGTAGGTATGTGTACATACCTTGTAGCTTGCAGATTTAATTCCATCAGGAACTTCATCCTGAAAAAAGAAAAAAAATGCTTTTATCAGATATTTATTCTATCTTCTGAAAAAAAATTAAGTTTCTATAATTTGAGATTATTTTTATTTTTTTAAAGTTTATTTTATTTATTTAAGTAATCTCTACACCTGTTGTGGTGCTCAAACTCATGACCCTAAGATCAAGAGTTGCATGCTCTTCCAACTGAGCCAACCAGGAGCCCCTATGAGATTATTTTTAAACTGAGAATAGTTACGCAGTTTTTATATTACTTCTTAAAAGTAAACAAAAACCCAACAACAAATTATTGTATAGGTTGCTGATCATATATTTTATTACTTACGTAATAGCATGGAAATGTAAAAATAGTCACTCCTTTTGATGCTCAAATTGTCCCACATTGGCAACCAGGGGACCCACAAAGTGCTGACTTGATATCTATACCTGTGTCCTATTGATAGGATCCCAGTAATCTTTAGAGCACTTTTTGTTTTCTGTTATGAGAAGATATTCCAGGCTCACCTTGTATTTTTTTTTTAACATATTTTATTTATTTATTTGAGAGAGAGAGAGAGTGCAAGCACATGAGTTGGGGGGAGGGGCAGAGAAAGAAGCAAACTCCCCACTGAACAGGGAGCCTCATGCGGGGCTCGATCCCAGGATCCCAGGATCATGACCTGGGCCAAAGGCAGATGCTTAACTGACTGAGCCATCCAAGCACCCCACCTTGTATATTTCTTGTTCCAGTCTTGGAATCAACTGTTTTTTAAGGAGCCCTAGTTCTTTTCAGAGCAAAACGGCACTGGTTTTTAGTCGTGTGTTGGCCACTTACCAACTATAGGACCTATCTGTCTATCTTCAAAGTGATGCTATGAATAGACATAATGATGTATGTACTCTGTAAATTGTAGGGCCCTATTCCAGTGCTAGGTATATTTCTGAAATAGATTATACCTGCCCAAAGGGAAGGACCCACACAGAGATAATCACTTTATTGTGTAACTTTCCAGACTTTGAACTACCTCAATGTATAATTCTTTTTCTAAGACCAGATATTTAGATGGTTTCTAATTTTTTCATATCATGCCAAATTCATAAACTAATTTTAGGAGAATTGACACCTTTACAATATTTATTACTGCTTTGGTCATCTTTGAACATCTGTCCAATTATTTTAGTAAGTGAAAATCCTGGTGGAATTGCTAGACCAAAAGATGTGTACCTTTTTAATTTTGTTGATACATTTGCTGAACTGATCTCCAAAAGGATTTAATGACCAGAGTGCTCATTTCTTATTCACAAACACTGGATGTTGTTATTTGTTTGCACATTAGTCAATTAATAATGGAGGGGAAAGAATGTGGTTTTGACCCATTGTAAAGGTAATAAATAAATGGTCTTTCAGTTTATAGAGAGAAGATTCCAGGTTGTGAGTTCAAGCCCCACATTGGGTGTAGAGATTACTTAAAATAAAATGTTTAGGGATGCCTGAGTTTCTGTCAGTTAAGCACCTGACTCTTGATCTCAGCTCAGGTCTTGATCTCAGGGTCGTTAGTTCAAGCCCTGAAAAAAAGATGTTAAAAAAAATTTGCTTAAAAAAAAAAAAAAAAGATGAGAGGAACCTGGTGGCTCAGTCAATTAAGTGTCTGCCTTTAGCTGAGGTCATGATCCCAGGATGCTGGGATCAAGCCCCACATTGGGCTCCCTACTCAGCAGACAGTCTGCTTCTGCCTCTTCCTCTGCCCCTACTCCCTGTTTGTGTGCTCTCACTCTCTCTCTTGCTCTCTCTCTCTCTTTAGCTTGTTCTCTCTCTCAAATAAATAAAATCTTAAAAGAAAAGAAACATTAAAAAAAAAGATGAGATTCAAATTTTCAATAATTGTAAAACGACCTGCCTGTTCTTGCATGTTTAATAAGTCATACATAAGTTATTTGTAAACTTGAATTCCCCCAACTAATGTTTCCTATTACTAAATATAAATGCTAGAACTTAGGAGATAAAATGAAACATTTAAACTGATGATATCACTTTAATGATATTTTCATAACAGAGGTTGGTTCACAAGTTAATTCTTGAATTTTCAAAAAGTTTTGTCTGTGAGGATGAGTATAACTAAAGACCTGATTCTCGGGGCACCTGGGTGGCTCAGTTGTTTCAGCATTTGCCTTTGGCTCAGGTCATGATCCCAGGGTCCTGGGATCGAACCCCGCATCAGGCTCCCTGCTCAGCGGGGAGCCTGCTTCTCCCTCTCCCTCTGCTGCTCCCTCTGCTTGTTCTCACTCTCTCTCTCTGTCAAATAAATAAAATCTTTAAAAAAATAAATAACTAAAGATATTATCTAATGATAAAATACCCATAATATATATACCCATAAATAATATTTTTACATTTGCTTTAATTCCATATGCTGGATAGGTCTATACAGCAATATTTACACATATAAAAATAAAACCACTCAAAATTATAGCACCACTTCATACCCATAGGATGGCTATTAACCTGAAAACAGAAAAAAGCGAGTATTAGTGAGGATATAGAGAAATTGGAAGCCTTGTACATCGCTGGTGGGAATGTAAAATGGTATAGCCACTATGAAGACATCATGATGTTCCTCAGAAACTTAAACCGAGAACTGCCGTACGATCCAGTAATTCTAATGAACCGAAATTAGGAATGCAAGCTGCATACTTGTGCACCCATATCCAGAGCAGCATCATGCGCAATGGCCAAAAGATGGGAATAACCCAAAAGCCAATCAATGGAAGAATGCATAAATGAAATGCAGATACACATACAATGCAATATTATTCAGGCTTAAAAAGGAAAAAAATTCAAATACATGCTACTACGAATAAACCCTGAAAACATGTCAAGTGAAACAAGCCAACACAAAAGGACAAATTCTGTAATAATCCCCCTTATACGAGGTACCTAGTATAATCAAATTCAAAGAGAAAGAAAGTAGCATAGTGGTCACCAGGGGCAAGAGGGAGGGCAGAATAGGGAGTTACTGTTTAATGAACGTGCAGTTTCAGTTTGCGATCAGGAAACAGTTCTGCAACTGGATGGTGGTGATGGTTGCACAACGTGACTGTACTTAATGCCAATAAACTGTACACTAAAAATGGTTAAAATTGTAAATTTTAGGTTATGCATATTTTAGGACAAAAAGTAAAATAGAAATATATGCTTTTAAAGGGGGAAAAAGGGGGCGCCTGGGTGGCTCAGTTGTTAAGCGTCTGCCTTCAGCTCAGGTCATGATCCCAGGCTCCTGGGATTGAGCCCCACATTGGGCTCTCTGCTCCGCAGGAAGCCTGCTTCTCCCTCTCCCACTCCCCCTGCTTGTGTTCCCTCTCTCGCTGTGTCTCTCTCTGTCAAATAAATAAAATCTTTTAAAAAAATAAAGGGAGAAAAAGGCTTTGTTGAAAGTGTTAAATTCTCTGTTTTCAGAGTAAAATGCTTCAAATTTTAATGTTCTGAGAATTCATTTTTTTTAAGATTGATTGATTGATTGATTGATTGATTTGCAGAGAGAGAGAGCGCGCACAAGCAGGGGGTGCAGCTGAGGCAGAGGGAGAAACAGGCTTCCCGCTGAGCAAGGAGTCCAATGCGGGACTCAATCCCAGGACCCTGGGATCATGACCTGAGCTGAAGGCAGGCACCAACCGACTGAGCCACTCAGGCATCCCTGTTCTGAGAATTCTTAAGTAAGACCAGGTGTTTTGTCCAATCCCTCCCCACCCACGGAAAACAATACACCCATGAAAAGAGGAGGGATTTTGTTTACACTTTGATTAATTTCACTTCGTTATACTATAAACACAACTTTGGGTAAGATGTAAGAAAAAAACAAACGGGCGCCTGGGTGGCTCAGTTGGTTAAGCGACTGCCTTCGGCTCAGGTCATGATCCCAGGGTCCTGGGATCGAGTCCCACATCGGGCTCCCGGCTCAGCAGGAAGCCTGCTTCTCCCTCTCCCACTCCCCCTGCTTGTGTTCCTGCTCTCGCTGTCTCTGTCTCTGTCAAATAAATAAATAAATAAATAAAAATCTTAAAAAAAAAAAAAAAGAAAAGAAAAAAACAAACATCAAGCCAAAAGAACTATTAATCTCACTAGTAAATCAAAGGATTATATTTATCACAAAATTTAAATTCTATGATTATGAAAGCAGAATAAGTCAATAATTTTTTTAAAGGTTTTATTTATTTATTTATTTTAAGTGTTTTTTTTTTTTAATTTATTTTTTGACAGAGAGAGAGACAGCGAGAGAGGGAACACAAGCAGGGAGAGTGGGAGAGGGAGAAGCAGGCTTCCCGCTGAGCAGGGAGCCCGATGTGGGACTCAATCACAGGACTCCGGGATCATGACCTGAGCTGAAGGCAGACACTTAACGACTGAGCCACCCAGGCGCCCGAAAGCAGAATAATTCAAAATAGGTTTCGTATTAGTAAGTTTAGGTTTTGGGTTTCTTTTTTTTTAAGATTTTATTAATTTATTTGAGAGAGAGAGAGAGCATAAACAACGGGAGCGGCAGGCAGAGGGAGAGAGAAGCAGGCTCCCCACTGAGCAGGGATCCTGATGCAGGGCTCGATCCCAGGACCCTGGGATCATGACCTGAGCCAAAGGCAGACACTTAACCATCTAAGCCACCCAGGCACCTAAGATTAGGTTTTTAACCTGTAAATATTAAACATTATACTTAACTTAAGGATTGAAATGTTATTTTAGTTGCATTGCCTCCTTTTTAAGAATTGCAATTATTTAGGGACGCCTGGGTGGCTCAGTTGTTTAAACGTCTGCCTTAGGGGCGCCTGGGTGGCTCAGTTGGTTAAGCGACTGCCTTCAGCTCAGGTCATGATCCTGGAGTCCCGGGATCAAGTCCCACATCGGGCTCCCTGCTCAGCAGGGGGTCTGCTTCTCTCTCTGACCCTCCTCTCTCTCATGCTCTCTCTCTCTCTCTCAATAAAATAAAATAAAATAAAATAAATCTTAAAAAAAAATAAACGTCTGCTTTCAGCTCAGGTCATGATACTGGGATCAAGTCCCACATGGGGCTCCCTGCTCAGCGGAGAGTCTGCTTCTCCCTTTGCCTGCTGTTCCCCTGCCTGTGCTCACTCTCTCTCTGACAAATAAATAAATAAAATCTTAAAAAAAAAAAAGAATTGCAATTATTTGAAAAACGATGTAATGTGCCTTAAATGTATATGTGGTTCTTACCGACTGACAAGGCCTGACAGCACAGTCTCTTCGCCCACACTGGCTGATATCATTCCAGAAAGGACACGGCCTCTTCAGGTTTACCTACAGGATAACAGAAAAGGTTATACAAGTAAGAATCTTGAGATTATTACTGATAGGCATTGAATTACGATGATATAACCTGGTCATGCTTTTGGCTGCAGCTTTTCTTTTTCTTCCACCTTCCAGTTGCCAAGTTCCAGCGATGGTATCAGTGTGTAGCTTTGTAAGTAAACTGGAAAACTTGCTTAGAAAGACACAGATGCTACTAACCAGACCCTGAACAGATGGTGACCAGGAGCCAGAGTAGCTCATATCATCACCGCTCCAATGATATTCTTTTTAAGCAGGTAACAGGCATTTGTGAACTCAGATGAGAACTACATACTCCAATGATCAGATATTCTAAACTCTTTCTGTAGATATCTCAAGTGACTAGTTAAAATAATACAGGTCAGAATAAAGTCATGCTTCTCAAAAAAATTTGATTATTTTAATTAAGTGGAGTTGACACAGTATTTTAGAAAAGTATGAATTAGCAATTTTGATAATAATATAATAGTTTCTGTTCTGACTTCAATTTAACCAACAAGTTTCTAACTCCAGAGTGCAAAACCGAGTTGTTGAAATTAAAAGTATCCAATGGATGGTTTCAGAACCACACTGTTCACTCTTGTGAACTGAATTTTAAATAATGGCCACAATTTGAAGCTCAGCAATTCCTAAGAAAATGCAGTTATCCATTTAAATTTTAAGTATTCTTGTACAAAAAAATTAAAAATAAAAATACCTTGTAATATCTAAAGTAGTCGCTTTCAAGAAGTTTTTGTAGTCTCGGGAAAAGCCTGTAGTTATTAAATCTATCGATGGTTTCAACGTCACAGGTACAATCATCCAAGTAACCACTAACCTGTTATAAAGAAAATGAAATAATACATCAAAATACCTTAGGTACAACAGGGCTCTTTTTCCTTATGAAGTTATGACTCAACCAACTCTTATCATCCCTCCTCCTCCTAATTTTCAGAAATGGGGTATGACAGTAATCTAATAATGCTATTGCTCTTACCATATACCTAGAGGAATGTAGTGCTGCTCTTTGTGGGGTGTACTGAGCTCACCATCACACACGTGTGCGCATACACATATGCAAAGAGTTGGTCCCCTGTAGCCACTCTGTAACCCCGCCCCAGGCCTGACCAGGGGTAGGCATCTAACCCAAACCAGGCCATGGTCCCTGCTCCAGGAATCTGGAATTGAGAGTAAGAAGAGATGTCTCTCCCTGCAGTTAGACCACTAAACAAGGAAACTCGGACCATATGCTATCAAGTGAGCCGAGGAGCACGTGAGCCAGTCGGCAAGATTTTAAAAGATACACAGGGAAGCAGAGATAGGAGATAGAGAACATATGCTACATGGGTTCCCTGGGGGTTTCCGGCGCCTACTTCTCCCCATCTTTCTTGAAGTCCCAGTTGCATTCCCATTCTTGGCTTTCCTGAGACTCCTATTCCTAAGATTCAATTGTCTCTGTCTTTCCTTTTAGTTTCCAACAGTATGTATAGTCTGGAGACAAGCTTAGTGAATGTATAAAAACAAGTGATACTGTATTTATAAGGGAAACAATAATTCATTATAAGGATCTAACAACTCTCAAATATTAGGCCACAATAATTTGTCTAGGTTAGAAACAGTGCTTAGAAATCACTTATACTAGCAGCACAGAGATAGCAAATTGACCACAAAGCCAATTCTGATCTTCAAATGCTTAAAACTAACAGTCTTAACTGTAATTACAATCAGACAATGTTATCGGAAGTGAAACTAAAAGTCTTAGATGTTTATTTGGGGACAGGCATATACCTCACAGAATTAATTATACATTGCAACATTGTAAGTAACAAATACATCATGATTTAAGAACAGTACCAAGATTTCTTTTTTTTTAAATACAGGGCATGCTGCAGAAAAGAGATCCTTATCATACTTTGGTCTGAATATTTGCATTATAAACTACTTAGAATTATATTTTAGGGAGACTTATAAAAAAAATTTTTTTTTTTTTTTTTTTTATTTGACAGAGACAGAGATAGCGAGAGCAGGAACACAAGCAGGGAGAGTGGGAGAGGGAGAAGCAGGCTTCCCGCAGAGCAGGGAGCCCGATGTGGGACTCGATCCCAGGACCCTGGGATCATGACCTGAGCCGAAGGCAGACGCTTAACAACTGAGCCACCCAGGCACCCCCCCCAAAAAATTTTTTTTTAAATCTACTGGTAAGTAAGCAAATAATCTTTATTGAAATACTGAATGTAGGTGTTTTCCCTTTGGAATACATAAAATCCTGCACTACCTTTCAATTTTACAACATCACAAAACAGTAATGCAAATTTTTCACCTAAGAGTGAATACGTTTGGATGACAGATAACACTATGGATGATGACAGCAGTATCTAAGAGCTAAGATTTTACACCAATTTACCTAGTCTTATTTGACTTGGACTTGTTTTGGACTAATTCGGGAACTAGAAATCTCATCTACATATTTTGTTACTGCAGTAACTACCTTCATTTCATATGCAAATTTGTCCTTGTTTCCTGCTAAAAATTCTCTGAGTATATAATAATCTTCCGTTCCTAATTTGGGGTGATAACAAAACAAAAGTGTTTCTAACCTAGGTTATTTGATTTTTCACACCTCTTTCTTTCAAGCATTAAAAACAGAACTTCTAAGGACATAAAAGAGCTACTGTTTTTCCCCTTGGATACAAATTATTATACAAAGAAATAACAGGCACAAAGACTGCAAAGGCCAAAGGGACACATGCCAAATAGAGACACTAGGTCACAAAAAGAAAGAAGCACACACAAAAAACAAGAGAAAGGGTTTGAAGCTTATTTTTTCCCCTTAAGTAATTGTGTTTTTTTTAATGTGTTCACCTTTTTTAAAAGATTTTATTTATTTATTTGAGAGAGAAAGAACACGGACGGAGAGGGAAAAGCAGACTAACTGCTGAGCAGAGAGCCCAATGCGGGACTCATGACCTGTGCCGAAGGCAGACGCCTGACCGACCTAGCCACCCAGGCGCCCCTTAAGTAATTCATTTTTAAGGTAAAAATCTATCTTTGAAATTCAAGTTCAAGCATCATCTCCTTTGGAAAGCTACCCCTGGAGTACCACTCAACCCCTGCTTGCTTAACTGTCCCTCCTATGTGCTCCCATGATACTCCACATACTCCTTACAAATTACCTCACTATATTGGGTTTATTTATTCCACTTCCTCCCTCTAGAGTTTAAAATCCTTGAGAGCAAAATCATGTTTGCTCATTTTGTATTCCTAGTCCTTAGCACTGTACTTCTAGAAAGCACAAAGTAGATGCTCAATATTTATTTGTAGAGTGGATATATATGTTTCAGTGAATGCTGTCCACTCTCATTCTCATTCACTGGAGACCAGCCCCACAGTCTAATTATGACTATGTACTACTATGTCACCTATGGTGGTGCTCAGCGCTCCAGACCACTCAAGCCCAAGTGGCAGGAATACACTCAGAACAAGGAAAGCAAGCAGCAAAGGTAAATAACCCACTGCATGCAACATTTTACCAAGCTGTACCTTAACCACAAAGGAAGCTAGAAGAAGCTCCAAACCACGCCTGGGTGGCTCAGTCGTTGAGCGTCTACCTTCGGCTCAGGTCATGATCCCAGGGTCCTGGGATCAAGCCCCGCATCGGGCTCCCTGCTCTGTGGAAAGCCTGCTTCTCTCTCTCCCACTCCCCCTGCTTGTGTTTCCTCTCTAGGTGTGTCTCTCTCTGTCAAATAAATAAATAAAATCTTAAAAAAAAGAAGCCCCAAACCATAAAGGAATGCAAGATGCATTCAGAGCAGAAATGGCTTATAGCCCAGAGACCTCAAAGAGAGAAGACAGGACAATGGTAGATTTAAAAATCCTCTGACTTTTGTCTTAGAAATTGAGTAGGAGGTATTTCCAGCTACTACAAAAGGTAGCACGGCAGTTATGGAGGCAGAGCAAGGGTGAGGAGTTTCAATAGATGGAGAGGGCCCAGCAAAGAACAGACAGGAAGATACTCAGAAATCCAAGCCATGTGACCGTTCAGATAAGCCTGCCAAAAGGCAAAACCCAATCCCTGGAAAGAAGTCTGGCAGGTATGATGCCAGGCCCAGTTGTAGAAACTACAGAACCAGGCATGTTACCAGAATACAGTCTCTGGGAAAGACAAAGGAAGAAATCCAGTGAACAGACCCAGAGCAGCACCTTGGAAACAAAGCAATGTCCTAGTACCTAGACTAAGACCAAAAGATGGGTGCTGATCTGGAACAAGGATGACCTGACACTAATGCAGCTTCAGGATGTGCTAAGGCTGCTGAAATAATGGCCACATTATCTCTAAACTGCAACGGAATTCTGAGCCTTCCACAGGGATCTGAATGTTTTGTTTAATGCCCGCCCCCCGCCCCCCCCCCCCCCGCCCCACCACACACATACACAAAGTGACTGATGCATGCTAACATTTGAAGCTCGCTGCTCTAGACTTCAGGCAGCAATCAGCATTGGGTAGGGGGCCGAACTAATAGGTGGCAAGTAGAAGGCCCTTGCTGAGGGATGGTGGATATAAGGACCCGGGTAGGCCGGACATAACATCACCCGGTTTAAAGTCCTAGTCTCTAAAGAGCTGAAAAGCCTTTGAGGGCCTTCTGCTGCAGCCTCCCAAGCACACAGCAATGCCCTCCTACACACTCTTGAGGAAGCAGCGTGCGACAATGGTTAGCACGTAGGCCCTGGGCTCAGGCCTTCTTGGGGTTGAATCCCATCTCTGCTGCTTATTAGTTATTGACCTCACCCAAGTTTTTTTAACCTCTCCAAGCCTCAGTTTCCTATCTCAACACAAAATGGCAATACGAATAGTTCCCATCTCTAAGAGTTGGTATCAAAATGAAATGTCAGACTAAACAGCCAGTAAATGTTAGTATTACTACCCTACCGCTATTTATATGCTTCTAGTGAAAGGGATCTTACTATTCCCCAAAGCAACCACAACATTTTTTTTTTTTTGAGAGAGAGAGAGTGTGTGTGTGTGTGTGTGCGCGCTAACACTTGAGTCCAGGGTGGGGGGCTGGGGGGAGGGACAGAGGGAGAGAGAATCTTTTTTTTTTTTTTTAAAGATTTTATTTATTTATTCATGAGAGACAGAGAGAGAGAGAGAGAAGCAGAGGGAGAAGCAGGCTCCCAAGGAGCAGGGAGCCCGATGCGGGACTCGATCCCAGGACTCTGGGATCATGACCTGAGCCGAAGGCAGACGCTTAACCGTCTGAGCCACCCAGGCGCCCCGGGAGAGAGAATCTTAAGCAGGCTCTACGCCTGGTGCAGAGCCTGATGTGGGGCTCGACCCCACGGCCCTGAAATCATGACCTGAGCCGAAATCAAGAGTCAGAAGCTAAACTGACTGAGCCACCGAGGCACCCCCTACATTTCTTTTTTTAATAAGGAAAAAAAAAGGCCCAGTTTGCAGATAAAATATTCCAAAAATTTTACGTCTGTAGCCCCAATGGAACATAGAACTGGACAGCCAGCAGTTAACTGCAGTGGTAGTCTCAAATAGTTCCTCCACAGACTGACTGGTTTGGACCAAATACCAAAATATAAAAGGCAAGAGAAAAGAAAATAACATGGGCCTGCTTGTTCACTATTTTCTTTGTTCACTATTTACAATGAAAGACAAAACAAAACAAAACAAAAAAACACTTTCTAAATAGTTTCCTTATGTACCAACAACTTCTAGTCCTACTACAGACTATCAATTTTTTCCCAAGCACTGTGAGAATATATTCTTCATACTTCTTTGAAATATGAAATACCTTTTAAAAGTGCTCAAAGTGTTATTTTTTTTGGCAA